GTTCTGCAAACAGAGCCCTGAGATGTAGTGTGTGTGTGTGTGTGTGTGTGTGATGTAGCAAAGCACAGGTACATGCAGTGTGTGTGTGTGTGTGTGTGTGTGTGTGTGTGATGTAGCAAGCACAGGTACATGCAGCCAGGTAGACACGGTGGGCTTCTCCTTAGCTATGATCTGGGCGGTTCTCGGGAGAGGGGTCACCTGTCCGTCGGGGCCATGAGCTGCAGTGCCTCATCCCAGGGACACCCATCCCCTCGGCATAAGGGAGCATCCTGGGGTCACAGCCCCCTGCTCAGAGCCCCATGTCCCCTGCAGTATGAGGCCATCATGGACCGTGTGCAGAAGAGCAAGCTGTCGCTGTACAAGAAGACAATGGAAGTGAGTGCCAGGGCCTTGGGCGGCAGTGCTCTGGACTTGGTCCCCAGGGACTCTGGGCTGGGCTTTGGGATGGCCCTCAGCCTGCTGGGTGGTCAAGGCTGTAGTGGGCACCAAGGCCCTGAGAGGAACAGCCAGGCCCTGTCTCAGACAGTGGTCCACGGTGATGTGTGTGGTCAGCAGGGGTGGAGGGCGGAGGGAACCCAGAGGGACACCCCGCAGGACACTGGGCAGTGAGGGGAGCCAGCCCCATGAGAGGGTCAGCACCATGAGTTTGCACGCCATCTCAGGTATCTGCTAGCCATTGGCTGTGACCATGCCCCAGAGAGGTCAGGGTCATGGGTAGAGCGGCCTGCTCCCGGTGGGATGCACCCAAGGATGACTTTGGCAGCAGCCTGATCCATTCTCTATTTCCCAGATTCCTGACCCTGGTGAGGGTGCTCCCCCACCCCACCCTAGGACCCCAAGAGGGAGAAAGGAGTTGAGCTCAGGGCAGGGTAGGACTGGGCAGCCCCCAAACCTCTCCCACCCCCCACCCCCAGTCCAAGAAGACCTACGAGCAGAAGTGCCGGGACGCCGATGACGCGGAACAGGCCTTCGAGCGTGTCATTGCCAACGGCCACCAGAAGCAGATGGAGAAGGTGCGACCACCTTGCACCCTCCCTGAGCCTCAGCCTCCCTATCTGTGGAATGGGGTGCCTAGAATCTCAGGGCATGGTCAGAGGGGGCCACTTGATCCTCTTCACTAACTCCAGGCTGCACCCTGGGCCTCGATCCTCAGAGCAGGGCTGCCCGGGGCCCAGCCGAACTCACGGGGGAGGAGCAGAAGCTGTAGCATTACCCCCACTGCACCCCCGGTCCCACCCACTAGCTGGCTGAACCTCACAGCACCCTAGGCCCGCGTCACAGAGCGGGAACTGAGGCCCAGAGAAAGGATCCAAACTCACAACCCTCTAAAGCCCAGCTCTCGGCTACGCTGACCTGCAGGTCACCCAGAGACAGCCTCCCAGGGCCCAGGCTGAGGGGGGTGTCAGAGCCACCAGGGCCTGAGACTATGTTCTTCCCATGACACAGACAGGTAAACTGAGGCCCAGAGGTGGCAGGGCCTGCGGGCGAGTTAGAGGACACCAGTATAGGCTCTGAGCCTGAGTCTGGGCCTGTGGATTGCACCACGGCAGGGGGCACCGGGCAGGGCCCCTGGTCGGCTTTTCTTCCTCTGGTTTTGACCCGTCTCTTCCCCGGATGCTGTGTCTGTCCTTAGGCTTTGACCCGGACCCGCCTCGGGTCTGCTGTGGGGAGAGGCAGGCAGTCATGAGGGCATCTGTCCAGATGGGCCCCAGAGGAGGGAGTGACGAAGTCAGTGGAGCTCCGGGGGTGCCCAGGGGTGGGGGCAGCAGGGGCTCAGTGCTGCTTTGTCCCCCCAGAGTCAGAACAAAGTGAAGCAGTGCAAGGAATCTGCCACGGAGGCAGGTACGTGCT